CCTCCTGAGGCTGATGTCAAGTTGGAAGAACTCACGTTTATCGGTGATGACGTGGAACCTGACATTGCGGTCGGAGTTGCTCGTGGCGATCTGGACCCGACGACAAAGGAACGTCTTGTACTAAAGCCATCGCTCGCAGCTAAGCCGGCCGATAAGAGGCTGACCAACACGATAAGCCGTCGACAGACCCTGGGCTCGTCTGCTGAACTCAAGCCAAACAAGCCGATCAATTCCTTCTTCACCCCCAAGCGCGTTCCCCTGGCAGAGTTGGACCCGAATAGTCTCAGCCCCTCTCCCAGCCAACAACGGCTGCTACAACGCCATGCGAACAGCTCTTGGGATAGTGTTCCTGCGCCATCACGGCCAGCACTCATGCGATCTGCGTCATCAGTCGGGTCGTCAAACCGGGCTTCTAGCCCTTTGATTAGAAGTGTGGAGCGTAATGCCTTCCTGGCACATGCCTCCAGAACATCGAATTTGCAGCCCGCTAAGCGGCAGCGACTATGTTCTGATGCAGAGGAAGCTAACCTTCCAAATCCGCCGGATTCCCGCAGCAGATTCTTCTCCGGTAGTGTCAACGATGCTAGCCCAAGCGCACAGAAGGCTACTCGCACAAAGAAGGCACGCAAGTCTACCTTGGACGTGTTCTCAGATGACTCTGCAGAAGACCTCATGACCCAGCTGCCAGACCCGAGCCAGGCGACTGAAACTCCCAGTCGTGCTATTTCATCCTCCATCGATGACAGTTCCATTCAAACACCTGCTGCAGCTACTTCTGAGCTCGGTGCTCCTGAACCCTCTGAGGAAGACCGCAAAGAGCAAACTCAAGAGCAGAATTTATCCCTTGCTGAACAAGCTTCGGAGAAGAGATCGGATGATGTTGGCGACGGCTATAGACCAAACCTTTTGCCTGTCGCAAACTCTCCCACGCTTTCAAAATACGTCTTTGAGGCCGGAACTTCTGGTGTGGGTAATCAAAATGATGAGCTTGGTGGTAAGGGTCATCGGTCAAGTTCCTTGAATGAGCACAAGGCGACTACCGGAGTGCGGCACGGCTTGTTGGGAACACCTCCCAGACGTCAGCGGACGACGCCATTGCAACGGCTAGGCCAAAGCGCCTTGGCTCGGTCTCGATCACTCAATTGTGTTTCGCCTTCCCTTGCAGCATTTAGAGCCTCCAAATCACTGGCAAAGAGCCCTGCAGTTCCAAAGCTTGATCACAAGCCTGTGCGAAGTTTGGCAACCCCCAGTCAAGGCAGTGAAGACATGATAATTCCGGATAGCGAAGATGAAGAATCCGAGGGCGAGACCCGAGCCCCAGTGGGACTTGCCCCGTTTGATGTGCGACGATTCTCGTTCATGGGTAAATAAAATTTTGGGTTCTCGAAGTGCAGTTACATCTTAGACTTTGGCATTATTTGGAAGTATCTTACATGCGTGGAACCGGACCTACACTCGCTCTTCCTCGATGTGAAAGCCCTCTCTGGATTTCATTTCATGGCCTTCACCTTGCACCACTTGATTTTCCTATACATATAGCATCGACTCTTATATGCGCTCGCCAGGGCCCTGTTTTGAAGACACAGGCTTGGACACCTGATCCCGTTATGGGTCCTTACAGGTTTTGATTATACTTGGCCATGCCGGAAAGATTGGTAGGCCTTCCGTGACAGGGCGTTTGATGAATATCCTCTAGCCTTCCAACGCTCTACACATACCACATCCAGTAGATGAATTATAATAATTAGATACCTCTCAAATGAAGCATTTTACTACTGTGGCCGTGGACCTGAACCAGTAGATATACACAAGTAGTCATTGTAGGGTCCTCTCTGGAAGCACCTTGATTCTGGGCATGTATTCGATATTCAAGTGGTCCCAATATATAAGTATCTTTGAGATGTTACAAGTACGAAATGTTGTCTGGCAGCACCTAGCTTGATGAAATGAGAGGCTTGATGGAGAACGACAGAGTAACGCAGTTGCGACTAGTCGTGCAAGGGCTCGGTTCTCTATGCAGCGCGGCATCTAAAAACAGGTATTATCGTTCAACATGATTCAGTATCAGTAGCATTATAAAAATATAACTGCTAGCAGTACCAATAAGCAACTACTGGCGCTCCACTTTCATGGGTATAAAAAAGAACCCTTAGTCGATGAATAGTACTAAGATGCTTTAATATATATATCCAGTACCGTATGACGCTGAAAAGTGAGTAACGAGGCAGCTACTGCGAGGGTTGTGAAGATAAGAATGCGACTAGAATTAGCTCTAAAATAGCATCTGCAGTGCCAGCTGTGGGCGGATATATTTAGAAGATGATCCAAAAGTTAAGCAAGGTACCGATGGAGCAGCAGGTACTATTGAAATTGATTCTTGATTTCCGAATTGGAGGCTGGACCGATCAGGTGCCGATAAGCCAGTGGGGCTGATCTGATCCGGCTAGCGTTATCGGTGGACACGATCAACCTGCCCGATCTGGACAAGCGCCAGTAACGGATAAGAATACAGCAGGCGGTGAGGAATGGTTACCGGGGAACGGGAGGCGGGCCAACGCGGTAAACAAAAGACCAGTGGCCCAGCCTCCCCCATTGGGCCACTTCCGCCCGTCACTTAGTTGTATACGCCCTTCCCAGCCTCCTCGATTATCACCACCATCATCGCCATCGCCATCCACCCTGCCGCTGCGCGATTCGAGGTTTTCGGAGGATTCGTTTAGCTACGAGCCATTTCTCCCTCTCCCTCTCCCCTTCACTCTCTTGCCCTTCCCCATCTTCCCCCCTCCCATATTCCACTTGCCTCTTTTCGGCATACTGCAACCCATCTATCTCAACCCACAAGACCGATTCGTTACTTTTTCTCTGCATACTGACTGCCCTTAGATCTGTCAGGGTCCAACGTGGGACAAAGGAGTGAGTCGTCCATTCTTTCGATCTCCCGCATTGACACATTCCCAATACTCCATCGCCCACGAGATCCGTCACATTCCATTCCAACCATATCGGTGCCTCCCTCACCAAGCGCGTGCTCCGCCTTACGACCCTATCGACAGTCGACTCGGGGCCCTGTCCCTACCACAACAGCTATACCGCTCGTCGTCGGGTGGTGTCCGACAGAGTGAGCCGCACCGGACATTTAATACTCCTTCTCGGAGTCCCGAGAAGCGAGTTGGACTGGACAAAAAGAGGAATCAGAAGAACATATCGCCCTAGATGCCGGGACTAACAGCGAAACTACCCCGTATGTCTACATTACGTGCCTCCATGTTGGATATTTCTCTAGCGATACTGACTGTCGATATCTAGGGGTTCTGCAACTGGTCGGGTACCACCATGTGTTGATGATTATCATCGCGGTGGCAATCATCCTACTATGTGAGCAGTCATTTCCCGACTCTCCCAACAATGCGACTAACTCTGTTCCAGCGTTACTATTAGCAGGATGCTCCTCGTCCTCCCCGCAGATCCCCGACATCTTCCTGATCTCCATGTACTATGAGCGCTACAAACCAACTTTCAACCTCGCTCAGGTAGATCCGGGGGTAGTGACAGCAACAGCAAATATTGTGGGAGGAGCCGAGATGGAAGTCCGTGTGGGTTATTTTGGCATCTGTGTACAGCCAGACGCCGGATCCTACATTTGCAACTCGAATGCGACAGCATTGGCGGAGATTGTCACAGTCGACCAAGATCCGTTGAACCTGATTTGGGTAGCATCGACGTTCAAAGATGCAGTCGTCTTCCCATATCTTCTGTACGTTCATACCCTCCACGCTCAAGAACGCATTTTGACTAACGGTTATAATATAGAATTCTTGCCGTCATTCTCGCTTTCTTCTGCTTCGTCATCCTCGCCACCTTCCCTGGATGGCATGACGAGCTAGACCCCAGCGGTTCCGAGATCGAAGCCAGGCCAATTCCGTCGCGGCCTGTATCCCAAGCAGCACTAGCCTTGACTTTTGTAGCCTCGGTCTTTGTCCTTGTGTCCGTACTATGGCAGCACACCGCATCCGTAGCCGCCAGCACGATAGTTCAGGATCTGGGCAACGGAAGTGTCAAGAGTGGCGTGGGTACATCTGCTATGGTTCTCGGCTGGTTTGGATTTGGACTTCTGGTGGTTGTGACGATAGGACTGCTAGTGATGATTCTGAGCGTCAAACTGATCCAGCAGTTGACGGACTAGCACGATCTCTTTTCGCTGTTTTTCTTTCTTGTTCTGATGCTGCATTATATCTGCTTGGATTGGTTTTGGTTTCTTTCCCCCGGACATATTACACCCCGATTCCCCTTCCCCAACGACACGACACGAATACACACGACCAACCCAGCAAAACGAATAATCACGACCCACACCTACACCCACCCTTCCAACTCGAAACGATTGAATTTTGTTATGGATCTTTTTACGGCACATGGATTACGGATATGGATTGCTATGGACTACAATGGATATGGAAATACGGGATTCATGAAGAAATGCATAATGAGCATCATTGTCATCACCATCACCATGATAACATATTTGAGACCGTCTGTTTTTAAGTGTCTCGCCCGGATGAACAAAGATTATATTCACTACATGTTGAAAACCAAATGATTGATTGAATCACTGCCAAATATTCCCTGTTGTCCTTTCTTTTATGTACATTCTGTCGGTTTGGCTTGAATTGTGTTTATGTTATGGACGGTTCTCGTTGTTATGGTTAGTATTGATGATTGAGCATGTATAAAAGATGATATGGTTCCTGCGATTGGTTGCATGATTGGTTTTAAGTTTCTTAGTCTAGATGTAAGTAACTGCAAATGCAAATGCAATGCACAATACACAAATATTACAACATGCACAAATTACAACACGCACAGAACATTTCAGGTATCCACAGGGTATTATATACTAAACGAGATACTTTTATACAACGCGCTGTATGGAAAACCATCAAATCATAATCATGACGAGCAAACAAAACAACCCCACCCCTCAAATATCATGTCTCGCATACCTACTCGCCATCCTCAACCTCCTCCCAAACTTCAACAACACAAACGGAAACGGCACAAAAAGCACACACAAACACCCGAGCAAAGTACACGCCCACCCGACTCCCAGATTATGAAACATAGCGGTAGCAAACAACGGAAACCCCGCGCCGAACGACGACCTCAAGAAATCATTTCCCGCCAGCACCGATGCCGCATACTTCGGATACGCATGCGCCTGGTAACAAAAAATGCAGTTGAAAATAAGACACCCACCGACCGCGAATAACATCGATGCAATGATCGGCACAATCCAATGCACGGAAGCGAATTGGCCCGTCCAGCCGAACCAGAAGAGAGAGATGGGGAGAGCGAAGCATCCGACGCAGGCTGGGGGCAGCTGTCTTTCTGGTGTGATGTTCCAGTTCTCGTCAAAGTGTTTGGCTTGATATTTCCATTTCCACCAGAAGTAGCAGGGGATGGTGATGGCGCAGGTGGAGATCAGGATGCCGAGGAAGGCGAGGCCGCTTTGGCCGGTGTTGAAGCCGTGGATTTCGCTGAAGATTATGGGGAAGGCTTCGAACCAGATGTAGAGGATGCCGTAGATTAGGGCGATGTAGAGGTTCATTATTAGAACGATGGGTTCGAAGAAGCAGAGTTCGAAGGGGCGGACGAGGGCTTCGAAGATTATGTCCTGTGTGAGGGGGGTGATGTTAGTGAGGGGGGCCCTGATTGTAGGGATTTGAGGAGGGAAGGGGGGGAGAGCTTACCATCTTCCTCATGTTGGCGACCTCGATCTCGGCTTCGCAGCGGTAGTTGGAGTTGCCGGTGATCTGGCGGACACGACGAGCTCGCCGGTAGAGGATGTTGGGTGCAAATGTCTCCGGGAGGAAGAAGAATAGGAGAACCAAAGCAAAGCCGGAGACCCAGAGGAGCTGCCATATGGTCCATTTCCATCCTTCTGCTTGTGCTGCGAATCCGCCTACCAGGGGTCCTAGGACTGGTGCAGAGATGGCGAATGCTCCCCATATGATGATCATGTAGTCGCGCATCTTAGGATTCCAGATATCACCCATCGATGCGGCGCCAGTGGCGAGAGCTGGGGATCCAATGAAGCCGGTAAGGAATCGAAAGGCCAGAAGCATTCCGAAGTTTGTGGCGTAGATGACGGCAAATTGGAAGAAGACGAAGACGAACAGTGTAAGGACGTAGGTAGGGCTTCGACCGACTGGAGGGAGTTCCGATAGGGGAGACCAGACCATTGGGCCTGTTATGCCATTAGTTGTTATCAGACTAATGTTTCGGGTGGTGGATATAGCAGATGCTGCTAGCACATACCCAAGCCATATCCCAACACGAACAGGGTCAGTCCCAACGTGGCAGCCACACTGCTCACTCCGAACTGCTCACTGACGCCGGGGATGCCAGGGGTGTATATCGCCGAGCCGATGTAGATAGCGAAAGTCAGAAGCCAGATCAAGCTGCTAACAAACAGCTTCTTGAATGTGCTCCAGTTCTGCGGGTTCTATATGCCTGTCAGCACGAAATCAAGCTATCGGATGCAGGCGGAGACAGTGCATATGATTTATACGTACCTCAGGATCATCCGGCCCGCTCCAATCTATGACAAGTGATGCATTGGAATTTGGATGCGCTCCTTCTGCCCCGTCATGCCTAGCTGTTGACGCGGTTGATAGGCGGCGTGATGCTCTGGACGCCTGCGAAAGAACAGTATAGAGACCGAGGTTTTCGTGATCGCTTTCAGAGGCTGCTGCTTCTTCATCTTTGACCTGTTTCTCTGTCTTCAGGTACTCGGTCCACATGCCCGTATCATTCTCTTCGGGATAACGTAGCCATCGCTTCCTGCTGAAGATGCGTACTAGCTTCCCAAATGCTGAGTCTCGAATAGTTTCCATGATGTGGGAGGGCTAGTCGATCTCGGGGGCCCAAGGGAAAAACAAATACACAGATTTTATATCACCACGATACATCAGCGGAGACATAGTTACTTTATAAGAACAAGATGCAGTGGCAATCTGCAGCTATTAGAGCGATCCTCTGGTCAATGAACTCTAAAGCGAGGTTAACAGGCGGACGTCCATCTCGGCCGGGGTCATAGCCGTAATGCCGATGATAAAGCCGTATATCCGACGGAAAGACCTGGGGCTGTCGATAGCTGGATGGGCGTTGATCCGTCGGATGTAGCTGCTGGTCTGGACTCTGATCCCTTGCATGACTTCATTGCAGTACGAGAAACACTACAGCACGTCACCCACCGCCTGATGAGTTGCATCGTAGCTTCGTGAGAATTCATGGCTGTGACGTCACGACTTGTTGAACATTCGTGCCGGCAGAAGATTTACCACTCAGAACTGTCCAGCTGAAGTTTGAGTACCGGTTGTTGCTTTGCAGATGCTATTTATTCCTGTCAGGCGTTGGAATAGTGTGTTAACTATGCTCGGCATGTACAGTTTTTTAGACGGTGAGTGAGATGCCACTCACCTCAGTGGAGGACACCACCACAACAAACCTATAATCTCAGTATTGGCGATCCAACAGCAAGTGCAAAGTGGGACACGCGCGAACCGGGTTTCCGGTCCATGGACAGACATGATGTCGATGATGAAATAAAGTTTTGCGGATCTAGCAAGCTTCCGGGAAAGGCTCTAGTTGCTGCTAGCGAAATAGTTTACCCTTGACGCCCGGTAAGTTCCACAGCTTGCTTCATGGCCATACCGTGAGAATTCTCATCGATAGTATTGCAGTAATCTTTTTGTTTGATTTACTTAGCTAGGTAAAGGGGCACGTCGATACCTTTACTTCTCTGCGCACATCACCATTCTTACATGCAGTAAGCAGCGCAATTAATACCCACAGACCGGTTTATGCGACTATGCGGAATATTTCCTCTGTCGCTCTTGCACCATCATGGTATATTAATGTGGCAAGTGTGCTCTCAACGACCAGTTGGTTGCTTCATAACTCAGCTACGTCTGAATGATAGTCATCGGAAAACGTGCCCAGGAAGAGCCACAGGCATATGTTTTTAGCGCAATCAATCGTAAACTACCAAGCACGAAGGTCCGTCTTTATGAAGTGGATATCCATTTTAGCACAGTCACCACTTTCCCACTTGCGGACTTCTATTGTAAATCGTGACTTGGGCTTAAGAAATATAGCCATATCTCCCTAAAATTGAAACAGGCGCCAACGGTATGCAGAGGGAGAATGAGTCTTTCTCCAATCTCAGGGCTATATGATATTTCCTCGATAAAAATGTATCACTTATACTTTAGTCATCCTAAGTAAGTCAAATACTGGAATATATAAAGCCCAAACCAAAGATCATGGGTAAGAACTCTGAATTAGGTAGGTAACAAGATTAGTATCGGAAAGGGGCTTGCCTTCACTCTGAAAACAAGTTAACTCGATAAGGGGCTTCCCTCGACTGAGACTGCATTGGGACATAGGAAACAGAAAACATCTCAAAGTAATATTGTGCCCTACATCGACGTGCTATTGTAGAAGGATAACCGAGCCACACAATAAAGAGCCGAGTTATCATTATGGTTGGGCTCCACGGCTTGCATTGCCTTGCGTATAATGATAAAATTCGACGAATTGGAAACACAGAGGCATGTCCTGCGGGTGCTGTGCAGGATCTTTTAAACTGAAAGTGACTCATTACTAGGGCCGCTTGTTGACTTGTGTATATTGATATGACGCAGCACTTTACTGTGGATAGCAGTACTACTATTTATTGAGATTCTTTCGAATTTCCGTATATCAAATATCAATCAACATTCATGCTCTACTACCAGCTTGATTACCATCCCATGTCCTACTATCAAGCTGTAGAGGTAATGCTAGATGGATATTCCATGATGTCAGCATCTATTCCAATACCATCGTATCGATCTACTGTTCACATCATTAAACAGAGTTCACTCCAAGCCCTAGACATGACTTCACCTACCAAGATGACAGTAAGGGAACCGCCGATCAGGCATCAATTGAAAATGTCTTCTGGAAGTACTATGGAACTGACTCGGATATATGCAAGGCTTAGAGCTGGCTCCTGTCATTGGCAGCTGTCGTAGGCTACATAAGAGACAAGCCTATGTACATATCCGTTTCTGTGTCTCTGCGTATGCGACCTAAATGAAAAAACATACTGCAGCTTGCATGGCCCAACCAAAATGAGGATCGCAAAATCGAGAATATAACGTCGAAATTCGTTATCGCGCATATGCATATTGACTCAGTTGTCATGGTGCATGGTGCATGCTGCACCATGGACTCACGGATCAATGGACAGCACACGCAGATATCACAGGCATACCGCCACGTAGCCCCACAGAAAAAAACTAGATAGGCAGCATAGATGACTTCGTGCATATCAGATAGGATTGAAAAGAGTGAACTGCCTGATCACAGCTATTCTCAAATTTGAGAATGCTCATACAAACGCTGATTTATATTCCTGAGATATATCAAGATACTGCGCTATGTAATTTAAATCTATCATAATGATCTATATTATCAACATAGAAATTAATAACTTAGGCCTAGCTAAAATCAACGACGTTCTCGCTAAAGGAGGGGTTGAAATATGCATCTAATGCGGGGGATTTGGAGTAGCCCCAAACCAAAGATGTCGGCGGAGAGTTCATTCGCTGATCCTAACAGAAACCCATCCTTATCGGCCCAAATTCACTCCTTCTACTTCTGTGAACTACAACTGGAAGTATAGATACCAGAAGCCCAATAGGTGTGAGTGGAGAATACATCCGGATTGGATAGTGGAAGCTGGGGTTGAGATCCCTTGGAGTCGGCACGGCCCGTTTCAACTTTTGTATTGGTTGGATTTCTCGATGCTTGCATATATCATTCCAGCTGATATGGTGCTATCGGCATTTTGCATAAGTGACGTGTATCGACTGCTTTCTTACGAAATTGTGGGATCATGTTATGATTGCAGCAGAAGCTAGACCCGGAGATGTCGGCGTACTATACCTTGTGTCGGAAGCTGTGCTGTAGGCTGTCGGCCTCCGTGGGGTATGTCGTATGTGAGATCTTCGGTGATTATCTGGAACTTATCATTAGCGGTAGTTGTAGGGAAAGCTCCGTTGATTCGATAAGGCGAATAGAGCCCGTTAGAGAAGGAGAACACGATATTCAGATATTTGCACGGGACGATGATGTATATCCCTCATACAAGCAAATGGAGATAGTACTTGAGGACTGTGCGGGCTAGACGCCTATGCATACCTGCTCTATGAGCTAAGGACCTGTGAACAGCAGAGACTGTGACGCAATTAGCACTTGGTAGTTAGGCATCGGACTATTCGTGTGACTTGATGTGTTGGCTCTAAAGATTCGGATTTGAATTCTTCTCAATCTGGTAATAACAGCGACTGTGGTGCGACATGGAAAAGACATGAAAGCCCCTTCTGCATCTGCTAAACTGGGACCAGAATACAGAAATACGAACCAGATAGCACAGCGAGTATTCTGAGTAACCCGAATATGCCTGAGCCTTCTATCCCTGTGCCTCCTCCGAAGACTCCTTCGAATGGGATTAAGGGAGTCCAGTACATACACCAAAGCGGCGGAGACACTGTGATAGGAGCTAAGACCCAAGTCTGGTTTCAGTCACCGGTAAGACCACATTTTACCTTTGATGTTGGTTCAAAATAACTAATCTGCCATGCCCAGATCAGCCATTGGATTACATCTCTCTGAAAAATCTAGACAGCATCCAACTTATGACCTCTTCTTACGACAATAATGCCCCCAATGCAAGCCGGCCATGGTTTGAAATCTCGATCTTCAGAGACAATGGTCAGGCCCTGGAAGACCAGGCTTTGGAAGGCCAGTTTCCGAACAATCTTCGCTGGATGAGTCATGAAAACAGGTTCAGGATCACAAATTTCGAACATGTATGCAGCCATCACCTCCCTCTCCCCAAGACACAATGAATGCAGCTCATACGTCTTTAAAAAGCACAAAGGAAGAGTCTTCGTCAAACCCAGCGGGATATTCAAATACTTACAGGTGAGCTGTTTGCTGGTATCGGCGGTTTCCCGAAACAATCGTACTGACTTCAACTACAGGAAGGTGATTGTATTCGGGTTCACGTTGCCGCTGATAATGCAGCCTCAGAAACTCATTACAAAGACGGTGTACTGGTATTTGGCTTTGGCGGCGAGGACGGTGTGCAACCAGTCGACGATTTAGTACTCCGTGAAGTGCTGCAAGCTGAACCAAGGGTCCCGGATGCGGCTTCAACCTTTGAGGATATGAGCGACAAAACGACAGATCAGGTGATGATTGAGCTAAGCAACAAAGCAAGGCCAATCTTGGCTAGATCGGATTGGTCAAACCCCGATGAGTTTGTGACACACGCAGAGGTGGCTAGAGAAAAGATGAAGAATGTCCTACTTGTCTTGGATGCTGAAGACCTATCGAATGCGACGGACACGGACCGTCGCCTGTCGTGGGGCCAGACGGTCGAGAATATCTGGAACAATACCATTAAAGTGCCTTGCGACGCAATATGGCAGAAATCTGAAGTAAAGAACGAGGGCGGAGAAAGTACCTTTGGGAACAACTATTTCCACCTTCTCATCCAGCTCGGTTTGGAGGGCGCAATCTACAAGGGCTTCCAAAAAGACGACAAAGAAACTGCCCATCTCATCTACGAGCCAACCAGCGCCAAAGGCAGTTTTCTTCGCTCTTACTCGGATAAAGATATGGAAAATCTCAGAGTCAGTAGTCAAGGATTCCAAGTCAACTTGCTGGATAAAGAAAATCTCGAAATCAAGGGGGGCCTGAAGATTCTCGAAAACCAGGGGCAACAGGTGAAAGAGATGATGAAAAATCCGGGTATAGAACAGGTAATAGTAACGCTAAGGGATGATCTGAAAAGAGAGCTGAGGGGAGATCTTAACGCGAAGGAAAAGCTGAAGGAAAAGCTGAGGGAAAAGCTATGGGAGAACCTGAGGAAGCAGTTGAGGAAAGAGGTGGGAGCCGTCTGGATGAAGGGTCTAAAGTCCTCTCTGCAAGAAGAATCCGCCGCATCCATTGCGATCCTCGGCATAACGCAGATTAGAGACGCAATAATGACTGGTATCAGATGGTCTCGTCGTGGTACCCCTATGATGTTCCCAAAAGGAGAGGCCAAGCAATCCCAGCCCGAGGCCCACCGCTTGAAGCTTGAAACTGACTCTGAACCGGTGTTGGTGTCGGTAGAGCTTAAATTGGAGCTTGCTGAGAGAAATACCAGAGTGCCCTTGGTTCTCAAAAGTCTGCCGTGCTCCCCTCAGAAGGCCGCTGTGGATACGTTGAAACAGGGATTTGAGTGTGCACTGCCATACATGCCCAGTGCCCGGTTCGGCAACTTGATCACGGCTGATCGGGGGGAAGTTGATGGCTTCCGAAAAATTGCCAACAAGGTTCATGAATGGCACCTAGGCAACGATGATTCTAAGCCATTATCCATTGCCGTGTTTGGGCAGCCAGGGTCTGGAAAGTCCTTTGGTGTGAAGGAGGTCATCAAGTCCATACTGGCTGCCAATGGGAAAAGAATCACAGATTTAGAATTCAATCTCTCGCAGTTCCGCAAAGAGGAGCACCTCCGACAGGCATTTGAAGTCATCCGGGGCAAGGCAGTCTCCCAAGAGATGCCTGTTGTATTCTTCGATGAATTTGACTCGACTTTTAACGGCAACGAGCTGGGATGGTTGTCGCACTTCATCGAACCCATCACGCAGGGCAAATACCAGGATGGTGAGGAAATGCGGCCACTGGGACGTGGCATCTACATCTTCATCGGAGGCACCAAGACAAACTATGAGGACTTTTTCTCAGGAGTAACAACTGAGAGGGGAGATGTAGTGGAGACCATCGATTTCGACGCCCCAGAAGCCCAACTCACGACATACCTTGGAGCTCTCCAGCTAGATCCTAGACCAATTTTAGAACCTTTGGTTTTGGATGTCTCCAGTATGTCCCAATACGACGACTTGAAGAAGAAATTCTACAAGATCAGGGACATTGCACTAGAAAAAAAGGTCCCACTGGTCTTCAGAAATTTCGACAGCGATCTTCGCAGCGATTCTGGCACGGAGAAGCTGGGATGGCTGAAATACTTCCTCGCTCCAATGCAAGACGGCGAATTCTTCGACCACGGCAGCCGACATCCCCTCGGGCGCGCCATCTTTGTTTTTGAACAGGGGAAAGAACACTTCAACGGATTTCCTAAAGCAGATTTGGATTCACGCTTATTTCCAGGTGCGAAACTACCTGACTTCGTGAGCAGACTCCGAGGGCAGGTCCAGGCTGGAAGCAACTGCAGGCCTCTCAAGAATATTCTTACTTGGTATTTGGAAAACAACAAGGCAAGCAAACCACTCTCAATTGGCATGTTCCGGAACATCCCTGATCGCAACGATGGAGTCAAGAAAATATTCAAGAGTACTTTGCAAGGACATGTAAACATTCTCGGGCCCAGCCAGTTGGGACCCGAGGACGAGGTCTATTTCCCCATACGACGAGCGATTCTGCTTCGGAGCATGCTTGAAAGGATCTTTGACTTTGACAAAGGAAAACTAATCGACATGGATGATGGTGTCCTCAATGCACTGTTGTTCACCTCCAGCGTCCTGCATGGTGCTCGTTCCCTGGAGTCAATTCTGTCCATGAGCAGGATACTAAAAGGAGTGAAAATCGCGAAGGATGATCTCTGCAAAGAGGATCAGCGCATATTGCATGTGAATAATCCGGATTTCCAGGCATACTTGGAAGGCACGAAGTCCGCCCCGGCTACAACACGCAATGAGCAGCATTATGCTTGGATTGAACGAAAATCAGGTAGATCTTACAAGCGCGAGGTCCAGCATTGAGTTTGAGATCCCCCTTGTGCTATGACGTTCATTGATTTCAGTGTTGGTTCTTACGCAGAATGATTTGGTCACGTTAGTTACTCTTCTTAGCTACAGACTGCCAGCTGAATTTTGAATATACGATCTTGCAATTGAACGGTTCTTTAGGGTTACTTATACCCCCCTTTCCCTAAGCTCAAGCTTCATTAGATACAGCTGCACACTTTTCCATGAAGTAGAACATCCCCATCGACCGCGTGAGCATACCTTTTGAGGGTAATGAAGAGGGAGACTGAAAGCGAAAATATCAGCGTTGTGTTATATACTATTGAAAGGTAAGGTTGTGGTAAGAGATGGTGGTAATAACAAGTTCATTGTTGGAACGGGTTGAATGACATCAACTTGGGTCTCATGTGGTATCTATCAACTAGTCTGTATCATTTCGTGGACCCCTGCATCATGCAGCAGATTGGTCGGATGAGCAATTGCGGTACATAACCTTGGTGGTAGTGTGTCATTTGAGGATATCATTCAATAGCAGTATGCAACAAGTAAACATAAAATGAATAACCCAGGACACCATTGTTAGCTTCAAAGAGCCAAGACTAATAATTCATCACCGGGCCCCCGCCTGGTCCTGGTTTCTCCTCGTAGTGGTTCCCATCATACCCGCCACCATAGTCATCCAGGGACCGATACCCTCCTGGAGGTCCGGCGTCACGGCCACGGCCTCGACCACGGGTGCCACCCCGGTTTTGATGGCCTCTGCCTCGCTGTGATGACCCACGGCCACGCCCGCGGTATGAGCCACCTCGTCGAGGTCCATCATCGTGGTGGTTGCGGTTGTTGCCTCCATACCGCGGGTTATAGTGCGGCCTGCTATGGGGCGGTCCATCCTGAGTTCCATCTGGATACAGGATTTCTTCATCCCGTTCCTGCTGATGGCGCCTCTTGTGGTTTTTATTCAAGAATTGACTCTCCCATTCGCCCTCATTGGGATTCTCTTCCTCAACACGTAGGACAACTTTCTCTCCGACGACCGTCTCGAAAGTCAAGGCCTTGTCGGCAGGGACAGGATGCCAATTCTGGATCTTACCCGCGTCAATCGGACGAGCGCCTTTGCGCACCGCCAGCACTACCACGGGGTGGGGGTTCTCTGTGTAGTATTTCTCTGTGGCTGGCACAGGCGTCAGGCGCGCAGCCCAGACGCGGTTCTCAAAACATGCAGTACCAGTAACCTGCCAGCTCAATTTCTTACCGATGCCACCGACCTTGTCAAGAATGGACCGGGGGGCTGGACGGGGAGTGATTAGTATACTGTTGGCCATGTACTTCAGATCATTGGAATCAGCATGCCCAAATGGCAGCATGGGGTTCAGAATCTGGCGGATTAGCCGACCAGAATCAGCATTGGAGATCAAATATCCAGTGTAGAAAATAGTCCGCTTGATGCGAAGCCGGCCGTAAGGGGATTTGGCGCGGTTGAGCGACGGATTGCGGATAGTAAGGTTATGAGAGTTGATCATCCTCTGCACTTCGGCAGTTTCCATTACAGGGGCAAGGTACATGGATCCTTCGGCGACCTGAATGACTTCAGAGCCGATGGGCCTTCTTCCACTATTAGGTGCCTGGAACCTGCGGTTTAGTTGCTCAAAATAATCCCGGAAAGCTTTCACACTGGCAGAACATCAGAAGTGTGTCATAAGAAAGGTATTAGCGAACACGCACTGCTTCACGCGATCTTCATAAACGCGGATCTCTTCGGCCTGGTCGTAAGTGAGAACAAGATCTTCCAAGAAAGTTTGCTTGAACTCCATAGTAGTGGAGAATCGCTGGCTCCTCGGGCCAACTTCAGGCTTGAGGCAGATGAGATCAAACTCCAGCTTCTTACTATCCACCATACGCCGGACAAGATCGGAGAAATTACTCTCGCCGCGGCCTGTCAGAAGCACCGTGAGGGCGTCTTTCTGCTCCATACTCAGCTTGACCAATTGGACCTGTAACAGGTCAGTTCACTGCCAGCCACGCCAATCACACATCACTTATGCCGCACAATCTGCTCGTTCCACCATCCCTCCCAAGCTCGTGGCTCTTCCTTATCGATACCGTCGCCGGTCGCGGCCAGCAGGTTCGGATCGTGCCACCAGCCTCCGTTCGCGAAGCTCTCGTAGGCCTGCAGAAACCCGATAGTCGGGCCGTTCCATAGCTGTGGGTTTGGAAGAGGACTCAAGAACACTAAACGGCATTAATTGACGCTGTCGTTCGCCGGCACCACGGATCATTCTTACAAGTATTATCAAAGTCGTAGACGTGAATAGATCGGATATGGGATACCGCTGATTTCAAAGAGAAAAACTGTCAGTACAACAATAGTTATCGCGCAAGGCTAGCTTACCTGGCAGCTCTCTGTTGGCTATGGACCATCGCCTTAGGCTTGTGATGGTTCGCGCCGGAGCGCCGTGAGCCTGGACACGCATGGCGGCGGCTGCGTTTTCAGTGACTACAGCCTTCGCAGATCTCATTGTTCATCAATCATAGCAATCAGCAGTGTATCGTTAGTGCATGTCTCTACATAGAAGTAGGACTTTTCTTTGGCTACAGCTTGCGACTGAGGTGAGTTTTGCGGAGATTTCGCCAATGTATGCGGCCGCGAGAGTTGTGATACGGTGGACGCCAGCACCCAGTTTCCCTCCGGCCGAATGGCACGGGATTGTTACACTAACCACACGGATGGCCACAGTAGTCGAAGAAAGGACATCAACAACCTAAAGCTACTGATATGGTATGAAGTTAAAAAAAAAACATAATTATTATCTCATTTAATTAATGCACTGATAGCAAGTCTACCTACATAATTTAAGCTTTCATTTCTAATTATTCTAAGGGACAAGTCTATGGCATATTCTAGACACTGCTGCAGTTACACAGTAGTACACCCGTGGCGATAGAATACTCCGTGGCGTTTAGTAATCCCCAGTGAATACTTGTCTTGCCACACAGGGACTACCGTCTCCCGTACTATTTCTGCCGACAGAAACCACTACATTCTGGCGGTGAAGCCCACAGTAAAGGCGGTAGCGCCAGGAATGACGTCCCAGGCGGTCAGATACGCCGCAATGCGACTGCTCCAACTTATCGCTCCATGACACCCATCAACCCGTCCTCAAGCTTCCAACAAGCGGTCGGGTGTCGATCTCATGTCCGATGATGTCGACCTGCAACAGGAAATCCTCCAGCGAACTCTGCAAGAGGTAGCGCATGATGAAGGCGAGCACGACGCTAACCCGTGCGTGATCTGCCTCGAACCCATCTCCGAAGCCGCCATCGCGGTGCCATGTCGCCATGCGAACTTTGACTTTCTGTGTTTGGTGAGCTGGCTGGAACAGCGTCGCAACTGTCCGCTATGTATGTATCCCCACTGGTCTTCCCCAGAAGCATACTGACTCGATACAGGCAAGAGTGAGATCACATCCGTAAAGTACAACCTCGACCACACCAACGGACCCAAGATCTACCAACTCCCCGCCAGCACAAGCGACACCACAACCACCTCACATCTACCAACACCCTCACACCATCGTCCACCCCGCCGACCCCGTCGTCCGCGCAGCCCCCGTCCCCAACAACAACAACAACAACAACAGTCGTCCACCGACCCCCTCCGCCGCCGACAACACATCTACCGCCATCAGCTCTACTCCCTCCGCGTCGGCTCCAACCGTCTCTCCCAATACCGCGAACTGACGCCGGAGCGCTTCAGCCGCGAAGAAGACCTCGTCTCGCGAGCCCGGAAATGGATCCGTCGGGAACTGCAAGTCTTCGAGTTTCTCAACCCAGAGCCAGAGGACCAACGACAAGGCGGGGGAGGGATTGCACGCCCCGGCCAGCAGAGACTCGAAAGCCGGCGCGGCAATAACGCAGAGTTTCTGTTAGAGTATATCATTGCTATCCTACGGACCGTGGATATCAAGGGTAGTGCGGGGCAGGCGGAGGAACTGTTACGGGATTTTCTCGGTAGGGATAATGCCCGGTTGTTCTTGCATGAGTTGCAGGCTTGGTTGAGGAGTCCGTATGTTTCTCTCGAGGATTGGGATCGGAATGTTCAGTATGAGGATACGGTGGGTGGTGGTGGTAATGCTCGTCCTTCGGACTCGCGGAGGGAGAGGGAGGAGAGGACTGCTACGCCGGTGTATCGGGCTGATAGGGGGCCGAGGTTCCCTGGATCTTCTGGACGGGTGAATAAACCGTCGTATTCTCGGAGAGGGGGTAGATCGTCTCGGGATGCTGTGGCTCAGGCGAGACGGGTGCAATATGCTCGGGATCGGTATGTTCCTGATTGAGTTGTAAAGCTCGAAGTATTCGTGTTGCGTGGTACTATGTACTATGATAGACATATAGACGCCTCGACTTGATATATAGTTTAACTGATATGGTATCTCAACAAGAATTATATACTTATGCTATAGTCATTGCTCATATCATGTCCCGCGCAGACAAGACACCACAGGGACTAACATTGGGTATCCTCTCTCCACTGTAATCTATCAATCCCATCCCCTCCATCTATACTCATCTACCACCTATCTACCTCCTCCCAAACCGCCCCCCGTACCTCCCCTTACTCCCTCGATTCCGCAACTTCAAAGACCGATAATTAGCATGCGCCGCCGGATTCACCTTCCTAGCACGCGGCTGAGTCTGAGTCTTCTCCTTCGTCTTCTCCTTCCTCTTCTTCTCTTTCTCATCATCCACTTCCTGATCGTTCGCCCGCCCCTGCGGTTTATCCGCCTCAATCGCCTCCTTCATTCTCTCTGAGAAACTCTTACTTCTAGCCGGGGGCTTAGATAATGTCTCTTCATCTTCGTCGAAGTCATAGTCGGGATCTAAGTCCGGTTCGGACCCTGAAAAGGAATGGAGTGAATTGGGTTCCTCTTCTTCTTCGTCTATATCGTAGGGTTCAGTTCCGGGGATATTGAGGTGTTGTGTTTCGGGGACTATATCCGCATCCGCATCTGCATCCT